CATCCCGCCTCTAAGTGCCTGCTTAAACTGTGCCACAATGCTGTCCCCAACTCATGATGCTTTGAAACATGCCCAAAAGGGGCAAGTGTCTGGTGCAGCGGTTATCTCATCACTTGGGACATCTGCATTCTGTCACAGAATGATGGGGTTCAAGCCCCAGCCTCTCCATTTCCAACCCAGCTTCCTGCTCTTGTGTACCCTGGGAAGCTACAAGCAATGGCTCAAGACATGGCTTCCTGCCACCCATGTGGGGCACCTGGTTGGAGTTCCTGGCTCTTGGCATTGGTCTAACTCAGTCCTGAACACAGCAGACACATGTCAAGTGGTCTCTGTCTTGGTTTTGTCTGTCATTCAGAGAACAGGAAGATAAAGAAATGTCACAAAAGTTAAGATATGTCTGCATATGCTTCTCACTTCAAGGGAGGGCATTCTGTTGCAGGCTACACTGCATCTAATGAATAGAACAAGGCGGAAGAAACAATCTTTGATTTTTAAGATCAGGTCCCAAAAGGCACTGCAGCCCCCGCCATCTCTCAGAGCACATCCTCTGAAAGAAGCAGCTCTCAGGCGGGAGAACTGAGGCCTCCTGCCTAGAGCCATGAGCACAGCCATCCTGGAAGTGAGCCCCCAACCCCCAGTTAGACCTAAAGGTGACCACAATCCTTCCAACCCCCCTAGCTAGGCTGTTTCTGGTTTCCTGAGCCAGAGCAATTAGATGAAACGGTAAACGTGAATTGTTGTAAGCTACTGAATGCTCAGCTCATCTTCTAAGCAACAATAGATAATTAGTGCAACAGCTAATGAGTTTATTATGATGATTTAATGAATAATAAAGAGATACCTAATTCCACAGTTTCAATTTCTAATACAGTAAATATCATTGGGTAGAATCCAGTTAAACAAAAGCTCTGAGAAGCTCAGAGATCAGAAAGGTTGAGGACCACTGCCTCAAGAACTTTGCAAATTGTCCCTTGATTAAATAACACTGAGATTAGGAACAAAGGGAGTGACAGTTCCATTTGTTCCTGTGATAAAACAATAGCAAAATCTTAGCAATGGCTGTTGCAGCTCAGTAATTTTATTTTCTTCTTAATATTTCTTCTCTGTGCTTTTATGTTTTTCTACAACCCGGATGTGTTATTTTTATAACTAGAAGAAGCAGAACTTCCCTTTTCAAAAATCACCCAATGTCGAAGGCAGAGCTGTCACCTTTGCAGCAGCCACTGCTCTCAGAGCTGACTTGCAGAGCCCAGGTGGCCGCGACATGCCTGGGGTCAACAGAAGTTGCCAGGGGCATGAGGGGACTTGGTTGCAGTCACCCCAAGCTGACCTCAACCAGAGCAGCTCTGCTCTCTATTTTACATATTGGGTTTCTGCATGTTTCCACTGCTTTTCAAAACCAATTTTGAAAACCTTCAGCATGAAACCTGAATTTCTGTGTTTGACTTCTTGGTTTTTGCATATGAACAAAGTCTCCATGCAGAAAATCTTACACACTGAGAGAAAACATAACAAGTTAACATCCAATCAGTGGGTCACAGCAATTATAGGAATAAAGGTGGGATCCCCCTTTTATTGCTTTGGGGGTCCCCAAAGGATGAGGATGAGGATGCTAGCAGAGGAAGGCACCAGGGCACCAAGAAGCACAAATCAGATCCATGAAGCAAGGGGCAAGAGGTTCTCTTGTTTCCCAGAGGAAAAACAAAACAAAACAAACAAAAAAGCAGGAGGTATCTGACCAGTAACTATGGATCTGGGTTTGAATCCTGGGTTGGACACTTCAGCCCTACGGGGCTTGGCAGGTAACCAGGCCTCTACAAGCTGCAAACTCCTCTGCTATACAATGGGATTCCAGATGAAGACAGCTTGCAGCCATTCTGGAAAACAGAAAGGCTTGCAATGGAACACAGAAGTGTCCCATGCCCGGGCAGCTGCCTGAGAGGGATGAAAACGTGTGTGTGAGCACACCAGTCTCCTCAGCACCAACATCCATCCCAGCAAACCAGGCATGCCTCCAGAGGGACATGGTGACAGGATACATCACAGGGCAGGATGCAGAAATCGAGTCTACTCCAACTAGGGATGCAGGTGGGTACCAAAACAGCTCAGGATGGCTCCCTGGGAAGGTCACAGGAGACTGAAACTGAAAGAGCCACAGGAGCTGGTAAGTGTTTCAGACAGAGAGAACCATGTGTACGAAGGTGGGAAGGTGGAAGATTGGAGTACGGGGAGTGGGTAGCCAGGAGGAGCTGGAGCATGGGGTGATGCAGGGGGAGCCGTGAGAGGTGGGTCAGGTCAAGGACATCAGCCTAAAAGTAATACGGGCCAGAGGGAGCAATTAGGTGAGCTCTCCACCTGCTGTCTCTCGGGAAAACTCCCACTCAACTGGGATGCAGAGTGAGACTGACTCAGAATGTTGTGAATTCAAGAGAGTGGGAGAGCTGCTGCCCCACGCTCCCATCCCACTGTGAGCTGACACCCCAGCAGCCTCCCAGCACCAATTCCACCAGCAAGCAGAAGCTGCTCACAGCCAACTGCCAGGCCACCAGAAAGTCAAGCCCAGCCCAGCTGTCGGCAGCCTCACCCCCAACCCCAGGCAGCAGTGCCTGAATGCCAGGAGCACCCCCTCACCCCAACTTCATCGTCCAACAAAGAGCACAGTGCTCTGGCCCGACCCACTCTTGCCTGCCTGTCTCCAGCACAAGGGACAGTCCACAGGTTCTAGAACTTTTCTTGTTCAAGTATAAATATCCTTCTAAACAACTCTTTCACTTTCTACACATGTCCCAGATCAACACCTGCCTGTATACACAAAACTGTTCACTGTGGCAAAAGCGAAACCCTGGCCATCAATCAGAAACTGGCTCAAATATTTGGGTGGATCCATTCTATCTATGGACTATTACCCAGAAGCTAAAAGGAAGGCTGTAGATACATTGTAGACACGGTCTGGCATGGAAATGTCTCTAAGATACAGTGTTGGGGGGCGGGGAGAAAACTGTAGAGTAATTTACCCAGAAGTCATTGCTTACCCAACCAACCAACCAACCAACCAACCGGAACTGAAACCCTGGCCATCTGGGAAGTGAACCAGCGGATGTAAGAGCTTTCTGTCTCTCCTTCTCTCTGTAAGTCTGCCTTTACAATAAAAATAAATCTTTAAAGAAAAAAAAAAACAGAGAGAGGAACCAAGTTGTTAAGATCACAGACAGGGCTAGAGAAGCCCAGACCCAGCAAGGCCTAAAGCCAACAGCCTCTGAGAAGCCCGTGTCAGGGAAGAGAGGACAGACAGAAGGTGGAGGGTGCAGCTGCAGAGACGCCACCCTGCCAGAGTAACACTGCATCGCGAGTCGTCCCCTGAGTGGGTTAGGGCTGCTACGTCACCTGCCGAGCCCCCCATGAGGAGGTCTACAGGGCCGTGTCCCCAGCCCGGGGTTTCATGCTCTCAACTGTCTCCAGCTGAGTGAGGCCCAGCATTTCCTCAAAGACTGTGGAACCAGTGTGTAAATGGAATTGTGCTGGACAGAAAGCTCTAGATCCTGAAGACGAAGGGCAATAAAGCCTGATCATCTTTAGCCCACATGCCTAGCCCAGAAGCATCTGGGTATTTTTTTTTTAAGTTTGGTATATTGCATATATGATGAGGTACCTGGAGAATGGAAGCTAAGGGGAATTCATTCAGGTTTGGTATCCACCTGCTCCACATAACTGGAAGGTGATTCTACACGACACTTCCAGCACACCCACATGCTGACTGCCACCTGTCGCATGAGGTCAGGTATCGAATTTTCCACTTGTGGATTGGAAAGTTTAGGATTTGGGAGCCTTTCAGATTTTGGATTTTTGAACTAAGCAGCCGGGCCTGTAACACTCCACACCCTCTTGTGCTGTAAGCAACACCACCCCTCAGTTCTCTCTTTGCCTAGCACCATGTGTCTGCAAAGTGAGCACAGAGGGGCCTCTCCAGGGACAGCCAGAAAGACCTTACGTGGCAGTGGGGAGTAGCAGAAGCTGCTGATGGAGGCAAAGCCAGAGCCCAAACCTCAACTGTACAATGACACCCTCCGACCACTCGTAGCCCCACCTGCCACCCAGAACATGCCCAGGACTCTGGCTGAGTCACCAATCCTCCAATCATGACCTTGCAGGAAAGCTGGCCTAGGAGTCTGGAGTTTCTGATATCTGCCATCACAGTCAAGGTTCTGAATTCTCTGCATCTCAGTTTTCCCATCTGTGAAATGGGTATTATTCTAAGGCTCTCAACCTTGTGCTTATTTGTCTATGTTTGTTGACTTGATGGACAATTTCACAATATCACAAATGTGATGGGATAAAATACGGTAATGAGATGAGATAGCCCAATTAAATCCTATTCATCATCACTTACTGGGCATGAGGGCCCACAGCCAAGAACTTGGCAGGTGTTACCTAATCCTGCATTCACAGCAAGCCCTTGAGGCAGAGCCATCATTAGCCCCATTCCAGAAAAGTGGAAACTAAGGACAGCGAGCTAGTCTCCTTGCCAAGGTCCCCAGGGAACTGACAAAGCCAGTCCCAGACCCAGGCCACCCTAACTCCAGAGTCTACATCCTTTGCACCCTGAGTGAAGGTTAACAGGAAAGACATTCCCGGAGAGAAGGGTACAGCCCCCTGTGGACTGCTGCAGAAGAGGGGTCTGCCAGGGGCACAGACACCAGACCCATCGGACTGCTCACCACAGTGCCCACAACCAGCCTGTGCAGGAAGTGGATTATCAGTAAACATTTGTAGGAGGGAAGGAAAATTATTATGGGATTCAGTAGCCTCGGCCTGGAATTCTTGTTTTCCAAACATTCTAAGATAAATCCAAAGCCTATCTTAGGAACAGGCGCTTCCTGACTTGGGCAGGGCTGCTTTCCACAGAGCCCCCACCCATGCAGCACCTGCCAGCAACTCCTGGAAGGCACATGGAGGCCAAGGTGGCTGTGCAGTCCACGGGCCAGCGACAGGGGGACACCCACCTTCCTCGGCGTCGTTCCTCAGGGAGGCCTCGAGCAGGGCAACGCTGGCCTCGAAGGATACCTTCTTGCGGCGGCCGCCGGTGCTGCGCTTCCGTTCATGTTTGCGTTTGCGATGCTGCAGATCCTGTTCATATTGTGCCCACTTCTTCAGCTGCTGAGCCCGGCGCTTCTGGGCGGCCCGCAGCCGCTCCAGCGTCGGCACCTTCTCCAACAGCTGCAGCTCCGTCAGCAGGTCCACGTGGCTGGCCATGGCCGCTGTGCCTCGCCACCCCCTGGCTGGGGGCTAGCACAGTGTGCCGGGAGCCAGGGGAGCACGGGGGCTCCAATGGGGCTGGAGCCTCATGGTGGGGCCTGTGGCAGAGAGAGACAGAGATGGACACACTGGTCAGACCTAAAACCTCAGTGCTCTTAGGAGTTTTTGTCCCGTGATCCTTGAACAAAAGTACAAATCTGGCTTTACCATGAAAGGCAGAAGCTAGTAGCCACACAAGGATATTCGTGTGTAAGTTGGCTACAGCACAATAAATAGGCCAGTGCTAGCCACACTTGAAGTGCAGAGCAGCCACCTGCTCAGCTTCTGGCAGCCGCCATATTGGGCAGCACAGAAAAATTTCACTGGAGCGGAATGCTGGGAAAGGATGCCAAGCCACACCCACCTGCCAGGCACCATGTCTCCTGCATGCCTCAAAATGTTTGTGGGAAATGGAATTAAAAACTAAGTTCATTTGGGTGCAAACAACATTTGAAATCCATGTCTATGATAGGTCTTCAAAACATTTGCAAATATATACATTATAAAAAAAAGTATGTATGGATTTGGGGGGAAAATTATGGAAATAAAGTCATCCTTTAATTCCATTTCTCTATGAACTTTGGGTAGCTCCCTGGAATAAAGCCAGCATAATCTAACGGTTTTGGTACGTGGGTGCTGAACAGAGGTGGCCTCTGAGGGATTATCCATGGTGGGGACTGCATAACCCAGATATAGAGGCTACTGGAGTGCCCAAAGAGAAGCCGAGTTCTCAGAAATAGGAGTATCTGACACTAACTTAAGTCCCTCTAATCATGGGCTGCTAGTTGCTATGGAGACAGAAACAGATCAGAGGATATAACATGCTTCCCAAAGTGAGGCCCAGGAACCCCACAAGAAATTCCAGTGACTGTTTCAAGAAGTCCACAATGTTAAGACTGTTTACATAACTAGGAAATTATTAACCTTTTCCATCTGCTTTATCTCACATGTATACAGGGGCTGCCATTGCAACAGATTAAATGTGCAAATAGACACATGAATCCAGCAAAAGTTTATAAGTAGTACCACTTTTCTCATTAATTGTTTGTTTTAGAAAATAGGGCATTTTTCATCCAAAAGTTTTATGTGAGAGTATTGTTCCACTATATTTTTGTAAGTCTATTAAAATACGTTTTAGGTTATCACATTGCTACAGAATGGATTTGCTGTTCTTAGATTTTGGGGGGAGTGTATTTCAGAGACATATAGAAAGAGACACCACATCTGTTGGTTCTTTCTCAAATGCTCACAATGTTCAGACTTAAACTGGGAACCCAGAACACCGGCCAGGTCTTGTTCTCTTGGAAGGCAGGAACACAATGACTTGAGCCATCATTGCCCCCCAGGGCTGGCATTAGCAGGAAGCTGGAGTTGGAACTGAACCCAGAAACGTCCATGTAGGATGCAGACATCTTAACTGAGGGTTTTGGGGCGGGGGAGGGAGTCTTAAAGATTTATTTACTTGGGACCCAGCACGGTGACTCAGTGGCTAAATCTTGCCTTGCATGCATAATGGGATCCCATACAGGCACCAGTTGGTGTCCCGGCAGCTCTACTTCCCTTCCAGCTCCTGAGTGGCCTGAGAAAGCAGTAGAGGACAGCCCAAAGCCCTGAGATTCTGTACCCATGCCCGTGTGAGAGACCTGGAAGAAGCTCCTGGCTCCTGGCTTCGGATTGGAAGAAGCTCCTGTGCTCTTGGCTCCTCAGCTCTGATCATTGTGGCCACTTGAAGAGTGAACCAATAGATGGATGTTTCTGTTTCTCCACTCTGTAAATTTGCCGTTCCAATAAAAATAAAATAAATCTTTCTTTTAAAAATAAAAATATTTATTTTATATTTGAAAGACAGATTCACAGAGAGAGGGGGAGACAAAGAGACACAGATCCTTCGTCACTGCTTTGCTCCTTTAAATGACCATAATGGCTAGAGCTGGGCCAAACAAAAGCCAGCAGCCAGAAACTTCTTCTGGTTCTCCTACTGGGTGGCAGGGGTCCAAGCACCTGAGCCATCTTTTGCTTTCCCAGGTACATTAGCAGAGGACTGGGTAGGAGCAGAGAAGCTGGAATGCTAACCAGTGCCCATGTGGGATGCTGGTGCTGTAGATGACTTTGTCTGCTATCCCATAACACTGGCCTGCTAAGATTTATTTAACTGAAAGGCAGGACAACAGTCTGAGCCTTGCAGATTTTTAAAAATAGTTTTTAGGATTTCTCATGGGGTTCCTGGACCTCACTCTGGGTAGTACTGTCATAGTATGTTATATCGTCTGGTCTCCTGCTAGTCCCAGCTCTCCATCTCCATAGCAACTTGCAGCCCATGATGCATAGGATGCAAGGGGATTAAACTACATGTAAGATACATTTCTGAGGACTCGACTTCTCTTTGGGCACTCCTGTTGGGCCTACCTTCCTCAGTTTGCACAATGTTCAAGGACTGGTCAGAAGTAATTGCTCACCTAATGGCAAAGAGAGGCTCACTTGGAGGAGGAAGGACTGGGAAATGCAAGCACAGCACATCTGTGAACCAGCATGCAAGGCTGGCTGCTGGACGCAGGCAAGACTGGCCCAGGTCCCAGCAGAGATCAGAATGGTTCTGGCTTCAGGAAATGATTGTTAATCTGTGGGGGTCCCCACTTCCTCTCATACTGTGGACCACCCTTCCTCTGGACACCGAAGGCTGGGACTCTGTTAGCCTGGACCTTCAGCAGCTCAAGGTGAACCAGGTGGCTCTTCCATTCTCTCCCATCTCCAAGTCTAGGGGTAAACAGGCAGAATGGAGAAGGGGCTGGCTTGGCAGTGCTCTCAGAAAGAGGTCCAGAGGTCCAAATGGGCATGACATTAGGTATAAATAAGCCAACAGCTAAGAAGCAAGCTGACTGACTTAGGTTGCCTCTTGCTTGGTTTGGTTCCAATTTTTCTTTTGAATACCTTGCTATGTGCTTTTGAAAGTTTAATGAATTAAACTTTTTCTCTTGAGATCACTGCAGGTTCTCACGCAGCTGCAACACAGAGAGACCCCAATACATTCTATGCAGTTGGTTTCAATGGTAATAGCTGGAAAACTGCTGTGCAATGTGACAGCCAGGGGTGCACACAGACACCACATTCCCAGCCTCCTCAGAGGGCTTTAGCTTTACATTCCTGATTATTTGGAAGTATCAGCATTACTTATGACTTGTTTGTATGCATGTTTTGTTTCATTTGATGTTATCAACACATTCATCATCACAAGCAAGACGCAAAGGGTTCCGTGACCTCAAGCATCCCTCCCGTTCCCCTTTTATAATCACATCCTTCCCCAGACGCCCCCTCCCAACCCACTCCTGCCCTGCCCCTGATCTGTTCTCCATCTCTAGAACTCTGTCATCTCAAAAACATCGCAGATGAATCAGACAGCAGGTGACCTTGGAGAGTTGTTTTTTTGCATTCAGCATCTTCCCTTTGGGTCTCAGACAACTTGTCACACATATCACTGTTTCATTCCCTTTGGCAATAGTGTTATTCTGGTTTGTGGATGAGCCCCCAGAAAATTCACCCTTGGAAGCACATGGGGGTTATTTCCAATTCGGGACTATTACACTCACGCACAGTGTTTGTGCGAACTTCCCCTTTCCTTTCTCAGGGGTCAATGCAATCATGGGAGTCACTCTGCAAATTGTAGGTTTAGGTTTCAAAGCAAACTGCTAGGCTGTCCTCTGGAGCGGCTGCACCAATTTCCACTTCCTTCAGCAAAACAGGAGTGCTCCAGTTCCTCCCCCAGCATATGGTGTCAGTACTGTTTTTTATTTTAGCTGTCTAGGTAGATATTTTGGTTGTCTTTTCAGAAGAAATTAAAAAAAAAAAAGGATGAATTCAAAGCCACACAGTGTCATGATGGGCAGACCTCACAGAGAGCTGCCAACCACTTCCTCAAGTGACCACACATTTAACAAACACCTGTTCTGTGACAAGCCCTGATTCAGGGAGGGGCTGGAGACCAGCACTGCCTTTAGGAAACACCTGCCTGCTTGTACATCTATCTATAGAATTATCACTCAACAAACTGATGGGGTAGACAACTACCATGCCCGCTTTCCAGTTAAGAAAGCTGAGGAATGAGGCAATGAAGCCAATGACCCAACATCACACAGCTGAAAACCAGAAGAGCCAGTGAGCCTAGGACAATCCAAAAGGATCGCGAAACCAAGAGACAACTGGGTCGAACAATAGTTTACCAGGTAAGAGGAACAGACAAGGGCTAAAGGGTGGTTGGCAATGTCAAAAACCATGCAGAGGGCTAACCACAGTGGGGGAAATTCGGGAAACCCACATACAAAACACGGCCCGAAGAAGCCAGGACTACTCAGCTCAAAAGGAATGGGGAAGTCTTGGGACAGAAATGAACAGCCAGGGACCATGGCCAGACTTAACAAGGAAATCCCCTCTGGTCCACATCACATCTGTGGATTTGTTAGGTTTTAGTGTGCACTACAGAACATCTTAGGACATCTCAGTATTGGGCCATGCTTGCTAACCATCCACAAGATGCCAAAGTAGAGCTGTTGTCTATAGGTAGGGCACGGATTTTCCAATTCACCACCGACCTCACTACTCCCTGATACTCTATCCTGACAGCCTTCAGGAGCCGACATCACTTGCTGGCTTTGAGTTTGCAAGCACTGTTAGGCAAAACAAGACTTCAGTCTCCAGATAGGCCAAGTTCCATTCTGCACAAGACACAAAAGATTGTCCATGATGTCGTTGCAGAGCAGAGCTAGCCAACAAGCAGCTCAAAATGGGATTCATGGACCAGAGGCTGTATCAGCAGATGGCAAATCTCCATCAGGCACTGTAGCAAGTGAATTTGCCCTAATATCAGGCTGGTCTGAGAAGTCTAGATTTCTTCCAGCCCTGAGGTTTTATATGCAGTTACTCTTTTCTTCACTATTATTGCTGGTCACCTACTAAGTGAGTGGTACCAACGAAACGCTAAAAGTGAACACGTACCCCTCACTGCCACTGCTAAAGTACTTTCTCCCTTTCAAAGAAACTGCTACTTGTTTTCTGTGCCAAGTGCTTC